GGGGGGGGGGGGGGGGGGGGGGGGGGGGCTAGAAGAAAGTTTTTGACGCAGAGATGTGAGAAATGATGTGAAGAATCCGAGAGAATGGAGGTATCCTGGCACCCGTCCAGCGCTGTCACAGCCGAAGGTTGCCGGGAAAGTCTCTTGAAAAAGGAATTTTGAACCCTTATCCGGGCGAGGTGTTGTGACGTGAGCGGGCCGGGGGAGTCCGGTGGGGTCCGGTGGGCTCGTGCCGTTTTCATCGTCGAGCTGTGTTTTGCGTGGCCCTGACGATCGTCGAGGGTTGGCGTGGCGATTCCCGGAATGTTTGCATGCGAAAAAATGAAGTTGCCGTTTCGGCTCGCATTTCTGGCGCGCTCCTTTCGGCGGCAGCGTCTCGTTCTCTGATCTCGTGGTCGTCGTTGCTGCTCGTTTTGTCGTCTCTTGGCGCGTGGTCGTTGTCTTGCCATTCTTCTTAGATTTTTTAAAATCATTTTCTGCGATATTCAAACTCTCCCCGCAATCTCGAAGGGAACGGTAACAGAAATAAGGTTGTTCTAAATAAGTCGAGTACGAGTCTCATTTTGAAGTTAATTTTGAAAATGGTGTGCTTTACCAGCTTCTTCGCAGCAGGATACTCGAAGGGATTAATCAAGGTGTCAGTAGTGGCGAGTAACTACAAAAAAAAGCAGCATTACGATCGTAAACAATTACCAATAATTTTCCATGCGTACTTCTTACCAGTATTACCTAAGGTTGCACGAAATGGAGCAGGCATCACCAGAGTAGCGATATTAGTCAATACAGTGGGCTGAGAGGGGATTCGTCCGAGTAGCCCTGCTAAATGGGCTACCGATAGCCCCGGGTAAATAGTGCAGCTAAACGGCTGCGAGTGGGAGCCGGCCAGAGCGGAAAACCATTGCAAAAGGCGCGTGTAAAATGTGATAAGAGTCCGGCCATTGTCCTTTTACGTCAGGGAAGTGTTTTTACACGTTAAAAAAAAATATTAAAAAATCAGACACGGTATATTGTACTCGCATCGACTAAAAGACAAAACGCGTCGCGCAGGATGCTTCGAAGTCTGCTGTCGGCGAGCGGGGCGAACCCGGGGATGATCACGGTCTTCATCGACGGGTACTTCGAGGAGCCCCTGGGGGTGGCGCAGCTGTTTGGGCTCCGGGGGATCCAGCATACGCCGATCGGGACGAAGAGCGCCCGGATCTCGCAGCACTACAAGGCGTCGCTCACGGCCACCTTCAACATCTTTCCCGTATGTGGCCCATTTTCTTTGGAGTGTTTAGGGGCTTCCTGTTGGTTTTTTTTCCCCCCTTTCGTTTCTCCCCAATTTTTTTTTTTTTAGCTTGCTCAAAGTTGGGAGAGTCTGTGCCGTTGGTGTGTAGTAAGAAAATGTAAAACATTTATCATTCATTTATCGTTGCGTTGAAAATAGAAATGGCGTTCTTCATGAATTTAGGATTCACGAGAAAGCATTAACACGATGAAGTGAGATGGATCATTTCTTCCACTCGTCCATTTGCAAAGCTCGATCTTTGCTTCTTGCTCCTACTTTTGGCATGCTAATTTAATTAGAACGTAGATAAAGATTTATTATTACGGCTAACGATAGTAGCCATGACCGGTCGGAGTGAAATTTGAATGTAGGGCGTCGTTTGCTCTGACACACAGCAGGCACTTTCGGTACTGTCAATTGGCTTGATTTATGAAGCCATCAGTCACTGGGGGGGTGAGGGGGGGCGAGGGGGGCTGAGAATTTTCTAAGTGGGTTCTGAGATTGAGTAATGGCTGGTGGGGGGAAGATTTGAAGGGGTGGACTTGTGGGGGTGAGATGGTTCTTGGCGAGGATGGTTGAAGGTGGGGGGTTGAAGGTCTGTTTTTGGTGTTGCAGGGTGCCAAGTATGCGATCATTCTCGAGGAGGATCTGGATGTCTCGCCGGATTTCTTCAGGTAGGGGTTGTCTCTGGTTCTTTTTTTTTTTGCAGTGAGTTTTTGCGTTTTTTTTAGCTCGGGTTTTTATTTATTTGTTTCGTTTGTTTGTGGTGGGGCTGTCGTCTGTCAGGGGGCGGTGACGTTTTAATGCGCGATTACTTTATTAGAAATATTAAGCTGGGGGATTCCAGGATGTGCGGATGCTTCGGGGATCGTCGGTCTCGGCCGTCGATATGTCTCACTGTAGGCTGGTTTTTGGCCTGCCGATGCAGATGGCAAAGAACCCGATCCTTTGCTCGTCAGAAAAATATGAAGACATTTCGCGAAAAATCTGGATTTGGCATCGTATGGCTAAGTCGATCTGCAGTCTGATGCCTGCGTCTGAAGATGGAATCGGGCATGTCGTCCGGACTCGAGTGTGTTCCGAGAAAGCATGCACTTCCATGGATTCTGATCTCTTCCAGGAAACTAAAATGTAAACATCGCATGAGTGGAAGCAGAAAGCTCTCACAGCAGCTGACACGTGCGTCGAATCTAATGCTGGTATCGGGTCGGATTTCCCACTCTAGTTTCAAAACTGCGACTGCCTACGGCTTAGGATTTCCACTTTCTGGCCGGCATCGCACTTTCTTGAGTCCCTTCGGCAAGAAACCATTTTACAAGTGTGTGATTCAGCCGTGGGGAGTCACGCATGCTTCCGGCCTTACCCTCCCCCCCAAATCGTGCAAAAAAAGAAAAGATAAGGAGTTTCGGTGTTGTACATCTCAAACGTTGCCGTGAAAAAAAGTTAATAACAACGAGGAACGTCGGACTATAATTTGCTGAATTTCCTTCCCATCAATTTGCCACCTCGGCATCGGCACAGCCCTAGTATTAAGTGAAGGTGTGCCATCCATACTGCATCGCGAATGGGAGCCACTTGAATTGCTTGTCGTCGAGAGTCGGCTGCTGGAAACGGAAATTCGAAGATCAGGAACGAAAGATGAATGTTCCAGGCTTGATATCGCCAACTTTTAAATTCGTTTTGTGACACGGAGATGGTATTCCTGCAGCTACTTCGGTCAGCTGTCGCGTCTCCTGGACGAAGACCCGTCGCTGTGGTGCGTGTCGGCCTGGAACGACCAGAGCTACGAGCACACGTCCAAGGACCCCGGCCTCCTGTACAGGGTCGAGGGGATGCCGGGGCTGGGCTGGATGCTCAAGCGGAGTCTGTACAAGGAGGAGCTGGAGGCGAAGTGGCCGGGTCCCGAGAAGGTGTGGGACTGGGACATGTGGATGAGGTTGCCGGAGGTGAGGAAGGGGAGGGAGTGCGTGGTGCCGGATGTGTCGAGGACGTATCACTTTGGGGCGTCGGGGCTCAATATGAACTCGTACTTTCACGATATTTACTTCAAGAAGCATTCCTTTAACGCTTCGCCCGATGTGAGGCTCAGGGACCTGAAGAGTCTGAAGCGGAAAAACTACGAGGAGCTGCTGGAGGCGATGATCTCAGAGGCGACCGTGGTGGATCACAGTCAGTCGCCCTGCGAGGAGGACTTCATTCCCGAGAAAAGGGTCAGTTCTGCACTTTAGAAGGATAATATGCTTGGTTGCGTCTTTTTTATGTTAGGGCTTTTAATCTTTTTTTTTATCCCTTTAATAACCACTTCTGGAAAAAGTTCCCCATTCTGGTATTCAGATTTTCCTAGACCATCCCTAACTTCACCATGAAAATGCAAATCTGGGAGTATGGGAATTCATTTTCACTTTTGCCGAATGGGCCACTCCTCTTTTCCATGTCGGTTTTGACCTTGCATTTTGGCACCATCGTGATTCACCCATGCCAAGAAGGACAAGGGTCTTGCCAAATTTGAAACCTTGTAAATGGGTTTCTGCACTGATTATTATAATAGCGACATGACTCCTATTCGCTGGGAATATGAACCATGGGGAGAAACGAAAGAGAAAGTACCAGGATTGCGCAGAAAGGATATATTGTATGTTTGCAAAATATGATGCTATTAGCACGGATCCCTGCATGACTCACTTTTGCAACACGGCAGTGTTAGCATGAATTCCTCATCAGTGTCGGCTCTGGTGTCTGCAGGTGGTAAATAGGGTCTCACATGCGCAAGGCAATCCTCTCATCTGTCTTTATTCGAACTGGGTCTCATATATTCCAGTATCGCTGTCCGCCTTTTTTTTTAAAGGTAAATTAAAATATGGGCATCATCTGATGTGATATGTAAGAGAGTGATATCCCCCCCTTTTTGGAAGGGCTCCAACATAAGTGATACATTTAGATGTCAGAGCTATGGTATGTCAATATTGGCCCTGCATTTTACCTCCACATTCGTTATGGCTGGTCTGTGCCAATTTGGCTGTGAATGAATTCCGAGAAATGGCACTCCCGAGTTTTATGCATGTGCCTGGTGCATTAAGCTTCTGATGTACAATTTTGTGAGTCAAATTGCTTTTATGTTCTTTACCATTTAACCTCTTTTGAAATCATTCAGTAATGAAAAAAAAACTTGACAGTATAATATGAAAGATGGGGAACATTTTTCATTCTTCACCTGCAAACTGAAAGTCTTGCCAAGCTTTCTCCCTTCGGTCTTCACGTGTGCTTGCTTCATTGCATCGAGATGTGATGAATATCTTTGTCATTCGAACGTTGTAATCCGCGCAGGCCAAGGCACACGTCATGTACATCAAGATGGAGCACGAGAAGGACTACACGACGTGGCTTCAGGTCGCCAAGGTGAGGAATCTCCATCGCGGGTGGATTGCGAAGGGCGTCGCGCGAGGTGTGACGGGTGATGTTGATTCCTTTGCAGTGTTTCAAAATCTGGGACCTGGATGCGAGGGGTTATCACCACGGGCTGTGGAGATTCCACATGAAGGACAGCCCCATCCTTGTCATCGGAGTGCCTTTCTCCGCGTACTCGTGAGTTCGAGTCGTGTCTCTCGGGAGCGGTGATTTCTCGTTTTCGGTTTCTGTGGTTGGGGTGGATTGTGGGTTTCGTGAGGGTGGAGACGGGCTTGTGTATCGTGGACCTAAACAGTCTTTGCAGTGGGTATTGATGTCCAGTATCCACTGAATAATATAAGGTATCCTGAAAAAGGGATACATTTTATTTGTTAACTAAAAAAAACTTATTATTATTATTATTTATAGTAGAATGAAAAGAAAGTGTGGCTTTCCTTCTGTTCCTGAATTATTTTAATGGCGGATAATAATAAAAAAGCATTGTAGTAATAATCAGAATATACACCTGACCGGTTCTTTCCAGCTGGGCCTTCAAAGGCTGACAATGAATTGCTCAGTAAATGACTTAGGTAATTTGTTGAAACAACTTGATGTAGCTGCTGATATAAGGCAAGACTACTTGCCAGCAGCCTTCCACTGGCACAGTTATCTGGGATCATGCTGAATCTATATCCTGCCCCATGACTCATTTGGAGTGATTTCCCTCTTTGGGTATCCTCTTCAGGGATGGAATGAACGTAATAGAGAGGGACATTTGGGTCCCATTGGACCGAGTGGGTTCGCAATCCTTCCCTGGACTTTCTGGTTGCTGGTTCTTGCAGGGAAATCATCTCTGGGAATTGTGTGATCGCTCCTGCCCCTGTAAAACCTGTTGCCTGCTTTGCGTTGGGGCCCTAGGTCACAAGCCTTTGTACTCTTTTAGTAGTTCAAATTACTTCATCGTAGGGAAAAAAAGAGTTCATCTATGTACTTGACAGTTGTGCAAGAACTACTTGAAGACATGGTTTCTATTAAGATTTGGTACAATGGGTTCTCTGAGGTGGTCTTGCTAATTGCTAATGCACATGGTAATTTTGTCAATATTGAGGCAGCCTCCCTTCAGCCTGGAGATGTCCAGCAAATACTGGGGTTTTTTCGCCGTTCCTCATGGTTTTTCATGACAAAACCAAAAAAAAAAATTGGTTTTATTCAAATGCTCCAAGGCTGTCTGCAAAAACAAGGACCAAGCTGTCAAATTTATCATTTTCTTACTTTAGCACACGAAAGAATGAAATTTAGCTTGCTTTAAAGGAGCCACTATTCTTTCTGGAGTAGTGCTTAAAATTCCTTTTTGTCGAGAGTCAAGTTTCATTATGGTTCCAGAGTTTTCCACCCCTTCCAAGAGTGTCGTGAGAGCGATGAGTAGAAGCCTTGTTTTATTTTATTTTATTATTATTATTATTATTTTTTAATCCATCATGTGTTTCTTTGCAGGAAGCACAAGCCTTCGGATGTGACGCCGATCTACCTGGAGTCCCAGAAGAAAGAGAAGAGTCGGTAGCTGGCTTCCTCCTGGCAACCCTGTCGGTCTCGTCGACCCTCGTCGACCCTCGTCGACCTGCCAAAGAGAACGGTCGGGAGAAGATTCCAAGTGCCAGTCCAAGGAAATGTGATACCATTTTGTGATAGCTCTTCCTTGTCGCTTGCTCCTTTTTCTCCTCTTTTTCTCCATTGCGTCTCTCTGAAGGTTTTTTTTTTGTATTTTGTGGAATGAGTCTGGAAAGAACTTGCGCTCGGGGAGCTTTCGGACCGGGTGCGCGAATTCCCGAGTAAAAACGTTCTCGAAGTTTGGAATCCTTTCGAACGATCCTTTCGGCCACACGGGAGAACTTCGAGCCGAATTTACTTCGTCATAATCTTGGTTCCCAGTGGTAATCCAAGCCTATTTATTCAGGAAGGATTAGTCCCTTGTTGCATCTCGCGGAAGATCCCAGGAAATCTCAAGTCTCGATACCTCATGTCTTAGACCTATTTTTTTTTTTTCTTTCCGCTTTCTTCAGATTTTTTTTTTGGCCTTTTAAAAATTCTGCATCGATTCTTGAGACGATGTCGTGTCCAACTCTCGCGTTTGCTCTTTGCCGAGTTTTTTTTTTCTTCCTTTTTGTCCGTTCATCACAGTGCACAATCAAAGTATTCAGGTCTTTCTTCTTGGTTTTTTTTTTTTGTTCCTTCTTGGATTTGAGATGATGATTCACACCTGATACAGTATAATTTTTTCAACAAAATTTTTGAACTTCTCTCTGGCTCCACGAATAGTCACATCATCGACGTGCATGTGACTTTTAACCCGATGTACTACATATGACATGCTTTGCACCAAAGGCGTATTTCATATGACATACACATACCATATGTAATGCACTTGTGTCGTGCAAAAATGAGAGCAAAGCTGGATACCAAGTAAAGCAGCAATTCTCAAACTTTTTACGCTGCGCCCCCCTTGCCCCCCCTGGTTTGTCGCCCCCCCCCCCCTCTTTCTCTCTGAGAGGAGTGCCAAGAAATTAAACTTAACCCACGGATGCTTTTTTCATGCTATGATAGAAAAAATAGGAAATGGATTGCAACGTTTCAGGGACCGAGTCACGGCTAGGAAACGGATCATCATTCGCGTGATTTAATGAGAACGACGCTCATGTGCTTCTGGGCCCTCAAACGATCGAATCTGGACTGGACGGTAAAAATAACAAATGTCACCTGACAGAGAAATATTTTAGGAAATTTCGCTCTGCCGGGGGGAAACCAGCTCTCCTGCTTCGTTGACTTCCTTTATTTATATATATATATTTATTTATTTATTTAGAATGAGCGCACGGACATCGAACATTGAAGTTACAGCTCAAAGGGACCGCACGATTCATTTGTCATTCGAATCGTCGGGAAAAACCGCCGACGGAAATGCTCACCACTTAAGAAAAGGAATCGAACATAAAAGTCTGAAATGAATTGCTTTCATTTAGTCTCGTGTTCCAGGAGAAAGCGCCAGAAAGGCCTGAAGTCACCTTTTTCCCAGTAAAAATAATAGATGAATAAAAATATTCCATCGTTTCTGAAATCGCTGATTGTAGCAGCTAAAAAAAAAAACAAACACACACATGAACCCGTCTCGCCCCCCCTTGGGGTCTCGCCCCCCCTTGGGACCCTCTCTCGCCCCCCCTTGGGACCTCGACCCCC